TTGAACTTGGTTCTAAAATAGAAAATTTGGGAGGCATATTTTCCATCTACCAAAATGTGAATCTTCATTTTATTTTGAAATAAACACTTCTGTTTTAAGAATGTGAATGGTAGTAGTAAATGCCAAACTCTCCCTCCCAATTTTTTAAACTACTGGTACCTTTTTTATTTAAGAGAAAACATAAATATGAGATATTGTCAGATCATAAAAGGTTTCTTTTTTCGAACCTTTTAAGAATGGATTTTATTATTCAAAAAACTATAGTCATTCTAAGTTGTGACTGCCTTTTAAAATACGCCCCCACCACCACCCCCCCCCCACCCCCCCGCCCCCCCCCCCCCCCCCACACACACAGGGAAAGCTTTTCCAACTGTGACTGTTCCCAAAGAATTATTTAATCGAGATTTAGTCAATTCTATTGTGGTTATTCCAACAAAGTTTCACTGAGTAGCCATTATGTTCCTGGATGCTCTCTCTGAAAAGAATCTGGCAATGGACAAAAACAATCCCTTATTTTTCAAAAGCTTACAGTCTAGAGACAGACACTAAACTACACATACAAATAAATATGTAATGAAATATCAGTTTGTGATAAGTGTTAAGAAAGAAAATCAGAGTAAGAGGCCAGAGTGATTTTAAATGAACACTGAGAAATTACAGGTTTTTTCATTTGAAACATGAATTTTTGGGCTTGTCTTTTAAACTTTGCTTTTGTCTATTTCTTGGTGAGATTTTCTAAAAGAAATTAAGAATTCACTGTACATATTTCATATACTAATTTAAAAATCTAGCTCCAACTAGTGAATTTAGCATTTACCAAAGGAGATGTCTATAGAGGAATAAAATCTTTGGTTAATCACTACTTTACTTTTAGCAGTAAAGTCTGCAGCTCATGAAATTTATAATTCTGGAGTGGTTTCAGCTTGCACCAGCCCCTGGGGAGCCTGTTGATACGGCACTGAGTTACAGGTTATTATTCAGCTGTAGAAGTTTAATGCTTAGACATTTTTTTTTTTTTACATCTTCCTTTCTCAGTCAGTTGAAATCTTGTATTTTTGCCAAATAAAACAAATCTCATACTAATAAGAAGCTAAAAATAAACAGTAGGAGCATGAGTCAGAACCAGCATCACCGTATTCCTTCTGTGTACCTCTTTGGTACTCCGCAATATGTTCATTTTGCACAAACATGAATTACTACATAACTACTGTTTTACAGATGAACATTGATAATTTAAGTGAAGTCTATTTTTTAGAAGAAAGTAATACTGTAACTGAATAGTAACTGGTAGAATTCTGGCCTATTACCAGAATGTGAAAGCAGAATGTGAAGCTCTGCATGCAATTGATGAAAGAAAAAAAGAAATATATTTCCTACTTTTCTGTTGAAAGCCCTAAAGAGTTCAATCTGGATACTGCTCTTAGATCTCCAGAATGGATTTTTATATGATTTAGCATAATTCAGCAGTTTTTCAAGGGGGAAAAACCACCAGTAAGTTGCTCGAAAGTCCCGTCTCTTCTGCTCTTCAGGTCCTATCTGCAAAAATCTTATCCTGTCTTGCTTTATTGTTTTATTCATGCAGTAAACTTTCATTGAACACGTACTGTTACCAGACACTGTGCTACCATAGAATATATAAAAACAAGCTAAAATCTTTGTTCTCAGGGAATTTAGAAAAGTGGCTCGTAAATCCAGAATTACAACATCTGGATAGTATCTGTAAAAAAAGATATAAAAACGAATGCCCTGAGATTACACATAAAACTACTACTGTTTATGAAGCACTTATTGTCCTTGATGTTTTATATAAGTTATTTCATTTAATCCTTTGAACAGCTTTATGAGGTCGATATTATTTAACTTGTGCCAGCAGCACTAACTTATCAAGGAAGGAGGAAGTGGTATCAGGGAATTGAAAAAACATTTCTTGAGTTGATTATGGAAGAATGAGTATGGTAGAGAGTGGGAAGAAGATGAGGCAGTGTGGCATTTCACACAGAGAGCTGCATATGTAAATGTGCAGGACTCTTGAGAGAACTGTTATTGGAAATAGAGTAGGTTCTGGGAAATAAATCATGGCAGGATCCAGAAAATGAAGGAGCTCATAGGCCATGACTAAAGAATTTGGTCCTTACCCTGTAGAAGACAGAAATATGATTAGAATTGCATTTCAGGAAGAAACTGTGTAATTGTTTGCACAAGGCATTTAGAAAGATTTTATTTTAAGGAAATAATTTCCTTTAATGGAAGAAATTCTCCTCAAGCACTGACTTATGTTTATCAAAGATAGCAAGTCCCTCTACATAATTTATTTCTGAATTTGCAGCAATCTAGGAGAAAGAATGAAGGAAGGGGAAGTGATTTATTTGTCAACTCTAGAAACTGGCTCTGTTAGGGTTTTTAACAATGACAGTGTAAAATTAAGCATTTTACAATATTTACTAGAGGGTATTCATAACTGGTAAATTAATTCACTGAGCTAGATAACTGAAGATCCATTGCAACTCAGAGATAAAAAATTCTGTAAATACAAGAAGATAAATATTACTACCTACCAAAGTCTTAAGATTATCTGAATTTAGTCCTATTGATTATATCTCTCCTAAGTTTTATACACAGAGAAATCAGTGAAAAATGTATTTGAAGGATTAAATGCCAAACCATATTTCAAGCTTACATTTATGTCCAATAGTTGACACAACAACAGTTGCTTAGGATAGTTTTGAAAATGGAATTCACATATAGGACACAGAATTATTTCTTTACAGAGCATAATTTCAGAGTTGGGGGATATAAAAAAGGATAAATTAATCCATAAGTTTGGAAGTATTTCTAAAAAGAAGAGTGGTATGTTAGTTTCTGGCACCACTATATGATGAACCCTGCTGGTTGTGGAGAAAGGAGAAACTGATCTGAACAAGACCACACTCTATACAGCTGTCCCTGGCATTCTTCCACCTGTTAGAGCCCAGGATTAATTTCATGAGTTGAATCAAAGCATGAAACTGTATTATATAATTTTTAGAAAACAACTGCTGATTGCTGATAGTTGATGGGGGAAGAAAAATTAAGAGCTGTAATTTTCCTACCAGCCATTATTCATGTTAACAAGGACTGGAAACATTATGAATGAATAAAACTCTTACATCAGATCAGAAAAAATAACAGCTGAATCCCCTAAAGGATTATATATTCTATTATCAGACATCTGAAGAAAATAATTCCATATAAGTGGCTGCATTAATCAGCATCATAATATAAGTAGAAAGAATCTTGCCCATTTTTCTAAAACAGCAACTAGAAATATTTACTTTTTGAAAATAGAATAACCATTTGTTAAAACATATATATTATATATGTGTGTGT